AGACACCGAATTAGCTTAAAAACTGCTGTTGCATCTTTACGGCGCGGGAGAAACGTGCATAGAGGAGAGAAGGAAGTAATATTTCATAACTACAGACGAACCCCAACGATTTCCACGGCAATAAAGCAACGGTGCCCTTGGAGTCACACCGTAACGCAAACAGGAATTATAACGACATTTAAAACCAAAGCTCCTATCTCAGTACTGGCAATTACGGCAGTATTCTGAATAAAACTGAGAACAAGAAGAACTGGTACCCACAGCACTTCAGTATTTGCTACCCATAGCACTATTTACAGTATTTTCAAACAGCTACAGCAGATGCGAAAAAGAAGTCTTACAGTAAAAAGGGAGGTTTTTCAAAACATAAATCAGTGCAATTACCTTCTACTTGAAGTTTTCCTTAGAAAAGACTGCAGGGATGCATCAAGAAGCACGTTACCAAATGTAATGTTAAAGTGAAATTAAAATGTACTGCCCTGCATTAGGAATGGAGGAAGCCGTGCTGGCAGGACAAATACACACACAGAGATGCTACCGTAGGAGAAGAGTATTTAAAAAATAGGAGAAAATGTGATTTTATTACACTGGTATTGAGTGTGAAAAATACTGAGAACTTTTTTCTTTACATTCCTTTATTTAATGTGTAAAACATCTCAAAAAAAAGAGAAAAAAGTCCCTTCTGGGTTATCTGTGCCACCAGAGATGCTTATGAATTACGTCAAGAGCAAATCACGTCCATCTGAGCCTCCACAAGTCCCAGTCCTGCCTTTCTAGTCCTAAATTTTTGGTAGTTTTGAGTACAGGTGACCTGCAGCACCAACCCATCCCCACCTCTGAACATCACCATTCTTCCTCAAGAAGAAATGATCTGCACATATGCTATAAAGCCTTGAGCAATCCACTAAATTCGGCTGCTCTCAGGTAAATTTTGGAGATTCACCAGCACGAGAATGGGTTTTCTGCAGGCAAGGTGCCCCTGAGCACTGCATTTGAGGAACCAACTGCTGCAAACGGCCCCCGCAGCGATGCACAAAGCCCTCCAGGTCATAACTTAATAGAAATCTTCCATGCACACACACGTTAAAATTCAGATAAAGCCTCAGAAGCATCCAAACTCAACGAGAAACTTCAATTTTTCAAAAAATAACCTGGGCACACCAGCTTCAGATTAAACTTAAATTCTCATGGAAACATTCTCTCTTGTCTCAGTCATGAGAATGATCTAACATCCGAACACGACCGATGTTAACAGTGGACGAAGACCACAGGAGTCAGTGATAAAGTCAGAATTAAAGCTAAACCTTCCCAACCTTTTTGCTTTTCCAACCGGGGAACGCTGCCTGGATGAAGATCAAGAACATTTATTATCGATTTCTCGGTTTAAGCATCAAAGTTTCCTGTAAACTTTCCATGCGGATTAAGACCCAACACCTTTTCCTAACAACTCCCCCAGAACCCGACAGACTGAGAAAGCAGGACATTAATTTGTCAAAGCTGCTGTAACACAAAAGGTCACTGATTTTAACTCAGCAAGCCAAAGGCGGTTGCTGAAATATTCTAACCCAAACCAAGCCAAAATAAGGAATTTTGAGAAAAATGTTGTGATCTCACTCTGTACCTCAGTGCATCTACACAAATTAAGTGTTGGGATTGCATAGGGTTACCTTGAACATCAAACTCAGGTAAGGCAGAGACTCAGCTTCGTTTCCTGGGGGTAGAGGAGGTGGCGCAGACACATCCTAAAATTCACCCACTGCAGCAAACTTCCAAAATTAAGTAAACCTCATTATTGCATTACATCTACATCAGAAAAAGAGACAACTAATCCATAGCAGGCAACTCCTTCACATCTGCTCCTCACTCAAGCACCATCCCTTAACTCAAATTAAATCCTGCAGCGCTGGCAGGGATCAGTTTGTCCATCACAGCCACTCAGTACTGAGAATTAAAGTATCTGGGGAATAAGGTGGTGGTGTCACCCGGCTGCAGTTACTACCAGCATTCAGACTGCTAAGGGTCACCTGCATTGATGGCTGAATTCAAGCAAAAATTAATTGCCAGGAACACAACGGAGAGGGATGAGGTCCTGCCAGAGCTCCTCTGCAACAGGAGTCAGGCAACTCCTCTGCAAAAATAAAAATTAAAGTTAAAAAAACAACTGCAAGAGGACAACGGGCATTTGGTTATTGCTGACCTGAGCTGCACAGTGACGTAGTGGTTATGAACTGTCAACCTCAACAGCAGAGGCGTGGGCGAGACAGAGACGGCTTGAGCTTGGTGGTTACCTGAGATATCGCTGTTCGTACAAGACACATGGGCGGTAAGGACAAATAACTGTAAAAAAATACTAATTTTTTAAAAAGTAGGGGTTTAGGTATTCGTGGCTTTTTAATATTTTTTTTGAGACATTTTGAATATGTAATTTCTATTAAAAATATTCCCAGAATGAACTTATAGCACGCTGGACTTTTCAAAGTATACACTAAATAAAAACTTTTTGAGAAAAATGATTTAAATAACAGTAATTCACCACTTGGGAGGGGAAAGGAGGCAGAAATCAAGCTATAAAGAATTTGCAGTACTGGAGGCTTAAAAAGATGTGTAAAAGGTAAAAACTGTCCCTAGCCTGAAATGCATAAAACCATCCCAAGTTCTTCATGCTCAGGGAAGGAAAGCTACACTGAACTCCTCTCCATTCCAAGAGGATGCACAGACAGCGGCCACTCTCAGATGAAGGGTCTGTCTAACGCTCCTTTTTGTAGGAACGCATCCTCCGTCGGACGCAGTGAAGCCCCCCAGTTTGCTTCAGATATAAAATCTGAGGTTAAGATTCTGCCCTCCTCGCCCCGCTTGTATAAAGTGATTTATTCCAGATCTGCACGGAGAGGAAAGAGGAGGAATTTCACATCCAAGAGGTCTCTGCATAACGAAGAGCGAATAAACTCAATGGTGTCTTATAACGGTTGATCTTTCTTTCCTATTTGTTACAAATAATCCATATAAAAAAAATAATTCTTATATAAAACTCTGCCGAATGAAAATCTCCACTGAACTGTGAAGCGCGTAGAGAAGTGCAACACACGCACCGTGCAACAGCCGTGCGGTGTGGCGGTACTTCAGGGTACGACCCAACTGAACGCAGAAAAACAACGTCACCTGCAATTTGCTTCCTGTTACACCAGCACGACTTTAAAGCTGGATTTAGGTAACCATGACCAAGAAGAAAATCTGACCCAGCAGCCTCATCACCAAATGCAAATAACACAAATACAATTAATTAATAAGGTTTACATCGTTACTTCACCAACAACCAACGCGCTGCTACGAGGTGAAGATGTGAACAAAGTCATGTACCTAAAACTCTCGATGCAGCAGAAGTTGGGCATTTTTTAGCTTATTCAACAGCACCTGGCGGTAATTTCTCTGCTCTACGGCACAGACCTCTGCAATGGATAAAGTTACGCGCCCATCCCACTGGTCAGAGGTGCTCAAACCAGTGACCGAGCGTCTGCTAAGAGGAAAAGGAAAAGACGAAGCCAAATGAACGGGTGGATGAGAATGACATTTAAAACCCTGCCTCTTTGCACGTTATTTCAGCTATCCTATGAGAAAATCAACAAAATCAAGTCAGCATAAACAAGTTTCCTGGGCTTTTCCCATTTCCTTCTCAACCTGCTTGCGGCATTAGAATTAGTGCAATGGTTTACATATGTATTACGGTTTTGTTATGAACCCAGTGTGCAAACTAACAGAAGCGTCTGTCTAAGAATTCTCAGCTTTCATTAATGCTTCTCCTAAGAGAACGGCAAAACTCCCACATCTCCTCTTGACCTTATGCATAACGAAGAGAGTTTCGCCTCCCTTCAGAAGTAAACTTCAGTTTCCTAAGACTTCTCTTTACTGCATAGATTCTGACTTTTGTCTAAGTTACAGTCTCCTCTCTCAGAGCTCCTGCGTCACCAACAGTCAACGTATAAATAAAACACAGCTGGTTTGTGCTTCAGTGAACGGAGAATGTTGCTCTCGTGTGCGTCTCTGAACTGCACAGGTAAAACCTGCGACGTTGTGTGCACGCTTGAAACAAAAAAAGCCTTTTAACAAATCCCAAGCTACAGGATATACATCGGATGTGTCTCTCAACTCTCACATATTGCATATTTTTTTTTTGCATTTGAATAGTACTGTCCCCACGATGAGGTTTTAATTCCTAGATCCAAAGCATTCTTGATATGTTAACAGAAGTATAATGAGCACTCCTTAGTAAATAAAAATAAATAATAGCATCTAGTCTATCACATTAATACTGTGAAACATATATAAACTTTACATTAACTCAAACAACAGTGAAAAAGGATTGTACTGTATTTATCACCACAGACCCGTATTCTTTAGAGACTTTGGAAAGGTAAGTGTCACAGTCCTGTATAACAAATTCTAAAGTTAGCTGTCAGTATGGTTTAAAAAACACTCTTTACAATTGTTTTTTAAATGGCACATTTTCATTTGCCAATCCTAACTGGACCTATTAAAAGCTTAGGTACAAGTTCATTCTTTTTTAAAATTTTTCTTTAGTCTATGAAAAACATTTTCAAATGCAGCACAATAAAAAACATTCAAGAACAAGCGTCAGAAAATACATTTGCCCTTAGACACGCAGAGAATAGACTTTGTAAGACAGTTGAAAACCAGAATTTTGTCACTCTTCTTCTGAAAATAAAACTTTTGTAAATGCATCCAGAATGATCAAGGCTTCATAAATAGTCAAAAAACGCTTTGCTTGTCTTTGTATTAAAAGCTAATTCACAGCATTTTAGCCCATCAAACTTTAGTATGAATTAGGTCTTTCCAAATTCTTAAAAGCAATTCAATGAATATTCAACTGAATGAGGAGCGTTTGTGGGTTGGGTTCTTGGTTTGGTTTCCTTTTGTTTCGTTTTGTTTTGTTTTTTCCCCCTAAGCCCTGAGATCACAGCTCTTGATTTAATTCTAAAATATGGGTCTGGTTTATACCAAGCAGCTTAAGAGATTTTTTTTTTTTGGCAAACCACATTTGCAACACTAGCGGGGTTTGGTACGAGAATGCAGTTCGTAATCAAGTCTGAAATTCTGGACGGAAAGCTTTCTTGCCAATGGGAAAAGAAAGAAAGAAATTCAAGATGCATCACTCATTGCTGGCTGTCACTGGAGCTCGGGCAAGTGTTGGTCTAAGTGCAGCTGGTCTCGTGTGAATCCAACTCGGAATTTGTACTGAGGCGCTAAACATTAAAACATGTCAAGCAAAGTACATAGTGCGCAAGGTGTCCTGATGAACTTGAACTGCTTTAGCAAGTGCTTGATGATCTCTGCCATTACTCTGACCTGAAGTGTGGCTTCCTTCAGCACTGTAAGAGAAGGGAGGTTGGGGGGTGGAAGAGAAACCCTAATTAATCTGCCTCTCCTTGCATATAATGTGTTTGTGTAATTCATTTCATCTGAGCGAAAAGTTAACTACGCTTAAAACACCCCTGAAGTTCTGAAACATAAAAAAGCACAAAAGCAAACAGGCACATCTTCTGCTTTTCTCTTTTTCCACAATGTAATTCAGTGGTAAGAACCAAACTGACCCTCAAACTGCTGCCTGAGGACACTACCAACCCCAGAATTAACAAGCCCGCTTCCTTCCTGCCTCCTTGAGACCACATCTGCAATATTGTGTTCAGTTCTGGGCCCCTCAGTTCAAGAAGGACAGGGAATTGCTTGAAAGAGTCCAGCACAGAGACACAGAGATGATGGGGGCAGTGGAGCATCTCCCTTATGAGGAGCGGCTGAGGGAGCTGGGGCTCTTTAGCTTGGAGGAGAGGAGACTGAGGGGTGACCTCATTCATGGGGATCAATTTGGAAAGGGCGAGTGTCAGGAGGAAGGAGCCAGGCTCTGCTCTGTGATGTCCAATGACAGGACAAAGGGCAATGGGTGCAAGCTGGAGCATAGGAGGTTCAACCTCAATACGAGGAAAAACTTTACTGTGAGGGTGCCAGAGCCCTGGCCCAGGCTGCCCAGAGAGGTTGTGGAGTCTCCTTCTCTGCAGACATTCAAAACCCGCCTGGATGTGTTCCTGTGTGACCTGGTCTGGGTGATCCTGCTCTGGCAGGGGTTGGACTGGATGAGCTTTTGAGGTCCCTTCCAACTCCTGATATTCTGTGATTCTGTGTGATTCTTTCCAATTCTGCACTAATTCAAACCTACACCACTCACCTGTCGTGTTCTTTATCCACCAGATGGTACCTGGCTCTGAAGGCAACCAGGTGTGCGTAATACGCTGGCGCGGGGATGGAAACTGAGCGAGTGCAGCGTACATACGTATGACACAGCTGGTAGGTAAGGATCTGCAGCTCATCCGAAGAGAAACGATTGTCATCCCAGAGGACATGGTAGTGAGAAGGTCTGCTTGTTCCCTGAGGGCAGATCACACAGGACGTCAGCATTTCAAAGATCTCTGTAAATATCCATCTCTGCAGGTGAACTGCAATATAACCGGCTGCTTCCTCAAAAAATAAAGTCACATGTGAGCAACTCTACACACTTCAGCAAATTTTTCTTTTAAAAAGGAAGAAACAAACCTCCCTCCTTGCTTCCCATTTAACTAATCCCTTTGCATTTTTTGGATAGGATTGCATTTTCTAGAATTTCATCCCTGTTACTGAAATTAAATGGTCTTACTGAAATGCACTTTCATCTTTTGAAACTTCAATCTGACAAAAAGCCATCACATAAAGTAGCTTTAGGCAAAAGAGTAATAGCTCACAGCAATCTTACTTGTGCCTGTACTAAACACACTTTTTTAGACAATGTTGAGTGTTGAATTGCTTTATTGATGTTGATTAACAGTTTTCTGATTGGGAAAAAGAAATCACAAGAAAATTACAAAGGTGCTATCTAAACGTGTTAGCTGAAATGTGCATTCAGTTCCTAGGAAACAAGAGAATTTAATGCAAGAGGCAGCTCTAAAATAGACCAAATGCCTTGCTATCATTTAAAGCAGCGTGCAGAGAGAAGCACAATAAATTTACTGCATATCTATTTAGTTCCACTATTTCTTTCAGACTTTTAACGACAGAAGAGCACAGATGAAAAGCCGAAACACAGAGACAGGAGTTGTACTGTTTGTCTCTGAATACCAACAGCCAGCGTTGCCAGCCCACCCAAAGCGCTGTACCTGAATACCAGCGTGACTGCACAGGTAGAAGTCAAACTCGGAGGGATGGGTGATTTTTGTGTCCACTGTGGTACCAGCTGGAATGTTCCCACTCTTGCCAACCTGTGTGAGCAGAAAAAGCAAATGCAGTAAGGCACACACACAGTTTTTTGGTTTTAGCTGTATAGCAAATTAAAAAAAAAACAAACCACATGACAAATAATCTGTAAAAAGCAAAAAGTCAAGAAAGGAGCAAAACTGAAATTTTGTTCAACTGAGTATCTGGAGTGACTCTACTTCAGAGGAAAAGAGACAAGCTGCAACATCTTCTATGATGATACCGACAAAGATGAGCTACTCTGATTAATGTCAACAGAATCTCCTGCAACTGATTTGGTAAATTCTTTTCCCTTTCCCATTCCAGGACAGGTTATACCTCTGTACCTTTTCTTGGTTATACCTGAAAGAGGACAATCCATAGTTGTAAGACAAACCTCTCCTTCCCTCCAAACCACTTTACATCAAAGCAGAACTTAAAAATACTCTTTAAAACAATTTAACAACTATAATCATAGCACGTTATCAGTATAAAACCACCTTCATGTCAGGATTGAAAGTTAATAATTATTACTTTGAAGCCTAGTGGGCTTTATATGCTCATACAGAGAAGCCTGATAGTGTTTTTAATTTTCTTTTTCCTTCTATCTGTCAACAAAGACTTATCACTAGGATCAATCCAGTTACAGCAATGACTCCATCCCAGACTCACGGAGTTTCTTGTCCATGCAGAAAAGTGGAATGAAACATTTCTACGTGTACCTCACACAGATACAGTGACAACTATGGAACACTCATAAAGCAATTTGAGATGTTCAGTACTACAAATAATGTGTTCTAACACTTGACATGTCCAAACCAAACTCCACGTCTAAGGCACAGACACCTAAGATACCTTAAAGGTAGCATGAATGGAAAAGAAATTCTTCAAGTGTAGGGTTCACCTTATCTAACAATGTGAGTGTCTGCATCTCAGCTGTTAACCCAAGAGTCACTCTATAGCCAATGGACTATAGACCCTAACCCTAACCCAACCAGTGACCTCACCAGTGCTAAAATCACATGAAATGTGCCTTAAAGCGTGTTGGGAATACTAAACAGATCTCCTGAGGTAACTGTTCCGGATGGAGACATCTGCATTATAAAACCTGCACTACTCAGATCAATCTCAACCCTTCAGGATGTTGAGACAGCAAAAAATTTGAAAAGAAACCCGAAAAATTTTGTGAACTTAAAAAAGGATGGACGGACTTGTTGAAAGGCACATCCTGATGATGCTTCATAAAAGCTTCTTGCCAGTTAATTACATGGGACAGAAAATAAAGGGTTTGCTTTCCAGGCAGAAAGATCTCACTAACTATGTTGTGCTGTTCTTCAAACACATCTCTTACTGCTCAAATAAGCAGCAAGTCATAGGTAACCTGGCTGCCTGCTAGGTACTTGCCAGTCGCAATTGGAACGTACCCGCTCGTTTTTATCCGTGCAGAAGAGTCTGGTGTGGTGCCTCTTCTGCACAACTATAAACGTAATCCCAGGCTGGTAATCCTTTTCCAGTTTAATGCACGCTTCTCTGATGGCCAGCAATTCGTGATGGAGAACCTGAATCACAAACAAAGACGTGTGATAAATATGGCAGATAGAGATCTCACAGATTACTCTTATTTATCCTGGTTTTTTCTTGCATTGTCACTCAGAGACACCGAAGCACGCAGGAGCAAACCTTAATTTCTCCACTTAATGAGAACAAATTAGATCACCACTTTCCCGAGCCAGGCGAGAACTGGTTCTGTATTTGTTCAGCTCCAAGCACGAGGCTTGAACTAATAAGCTGTATGTCAAAAACTGTTTAACTGCCAAATACAAACGAACACTTAATTAGGCTGTTGTGTATTCAACAGCCTCATTATTTCTCATACTCGTACAAGGGATAAATTCCAGAACTGCTCAACTGCATGTTCTTTCCCAGCCTTGTGAGCTCTCATGCAGGACTACAGGCATCAACGAAAACAGAGAGGAGAACGTCCAATAAAACAAGACGCAATGATTTCTGATTTGGGTTCATTACAAATTAAAAATTCAGCAAAAAACAGTGATAAACGAAAAAAAAAGAAAATGTTCACACAGTGATTAGTTTTATTAATTCAAGGTTATTAAGTGACCTTTACTCCCTCCCCCTCGGATTTTGAGAAGCTGGCTAAATTCGGTATATTTTAATTTAGGTATTAAAATACTGGAAAGCAAAGCATAGGTAAGTATCTTTAAGAGGAGGAAAATTGGCTTACACTTAGTTTTTCTTTACTGTCCAAGTTCTATGGGATACAGTTGAACTGACCTATCTTGAATGGGTCACAGATGTTGAACACAGAGTGCTAGAACTGTATCATTTACCATGGGAAGTAATTTAAAAGGGAAAAGTATTTGTAAAAGCTCATTAAATATACGAAAACACTTTCCCCGCTTTGCTTGATTAGAATCCAAACAGAATTGCTGAGGAAAGACTTGTTGAGGGGATCATAATTTTCCTAACTCCAACTACACAAACCTACATCACTACCAGGAAACCACACAACCAAAATCTCAAAAAGAAGGATGTAACCTGTTGAAACTGCCCCTCAGAAACGCCGTCTCTGTAGAAGATTATTCGAGTCGGTTTAAATCTGGTCGATTTGTAGAACTGAATGAGCAACTCCCTGACCATGGCAGCCAAATCTTGGATGATTTCTTGGCGGTGCTGCTGGACCCGAACAGTGGCGCAGTAGCGATTGGGGTGAGCATCCATGCTTCCTACAACCTGTTGAAATAAATGCTTAGCATAAAATCAAATTTAAAAGCACTTTAATAGAAGTACTTCATGAAAATAAGTGCACTAACTTTGATATTTTTAGTATCTTGCAAACTAAGGGGTTGACCAAGCAAAGATAGAGCCAAAAACCAGTGTGCTCAGAAAGAGCTTTAAGTCTACCTGTGGTAACACAATCTGTCTAAACCTAAAACTTATTTTAAATCTAAAAGATTGATTTCCTGTCTGCACCTACATGCAGTTAAAAATGCAAATATGATTCTGAGCACTGATACTGTGACACCATTGATTTTGCTCAGAGTGCAAGGTAGGAACTCCTGAAGACAAAGTGCTTTTCTAGGACACTGTGGATGGATCCGTAACACTGAAATGGTGAGGCACCACAGAGATGTCCACACACCCTGCTCGCCAAGGAATGGGAATTTTCTGTTTATGAAACCTCAAAATTCACACATTTTAAAAGTAGTGTGGGGCTTAAAAAGAAACAAATTCAAATTCCATATGGCAAAAATCACAGCTAAGCACATCTCCACCTGCTTTTCCCTGGACACGCACGTATAATGTTTTAAAACAAGTATTTGTTTGTTTAGCACCAGAGCTAAGCCTAAGATGAATCCCACACATACTGACACTGAATATCTTCATTTTTACAGATGTTTCACATAATGCAAGTCAAACACCTTCTCTTACATTTAAAGAGCCCATTTTTCAGAGATTACAATCTCTGTTGTCAGGAAGCCTGAACCCCCAAAATTCACCACTGAGCCAGCCTGGCTCCCCAGCAGCAAGGGAGAAATTCTTCACATTTTTAACTGCTGAACAAGCAGATTTAAACATGCACCGGCTTATCACAGGTTGCAGATAAATATCAGCGAGGAGAAAACCTCCCGTGTGTACTCGCATCTCAGGCATTTTACAAGCCAAACACATACATTTCAGTAATTAGCATCAGCTCCCTTAGATTCCTGCCATAAAAGTAATTTATAATCCTGTGATTAGGTAAGTTGGTGGAAATGGACCACAAGAGAGCTGAAAGGAATCAAATGCATTAGAGCATAGCGGGAGAGGCGCAGGGGTCAGAGCGTTGCCCATGTACTCACTGCAGCGATGGACGGCTTCTTGCCGTCTCCGGCTGGCGGATGGGTTACATCTGCACCCAGGAATATCACGGGCTGCTGGAACACTGGTGGTCTGATAAAGAGAAAGCAAATTTGGAAAAGCAGCACGGCTTACACTTGATAAAGCACATTATAACTCAAGGAAACAGTGCTTTTGCAGTGAATCAGTCAACAATTTGTACTTGATCAGAGCTGGTCACTTGTACTGTGAGAGTAATTAGAAATCCTCATTAGGGTTCTCATACTAAATACTTAGGCCTATTTTCAAAGCGTAGCCAATTGTTACTTTTCATTAAAAATGAGTGGAAAAAAAATCAATTTATTTTTAAACTTGGAGAATTGCAGCCTTTATTAATCAGACTGTAGAAAAAGTTATTAATTAGACTGTAGAAAAGAATAAAAGAAAGCTCTCAGATTCCTTAGCATCAAAGAGCATCGCAGAAAATTAATGGACTGTGTACATACACAGATGTTACAGTTTCCATGGAACAGAATCATTAAGGCTGGAAGAGACGTTTAAGATCATTGAGTCCAACCATCAACCCAACCCCACCATGCCCACTAAGCCATGTCCTTTTGTTTCTGTACAAAAAATCCTGGTATTATCACAGGTATTATTTTAAAAGTAGATTTTTTTCAACTATGCTTCAAAGTTTTAATAAAATCTTTAAGATATTAATCCCCTGCATCAAGAGCAGAACACCGAAACACTACACTTGAAGATTTAAGCTTCAATTCTATTATTTATTATAACAATTTTAATCAGATCTTAGTCCACTGGAACTTTTCGTGTGTGTTTCAGTGTGTGTTATGGTTACGTAGATAAATTCTGCAGTTTGCAGACCTTCTCTAAAATGGAATTTGAAGGTAATTATAATAATGTATCTTGTAATACAACTATACAAATAAAAAGCTGTTCAATTCCCATTCCCTCAACCAACAGAAAATAATAATTAAAGAGTTCTGTTTTAAAAGCCCCAAACCTCTACTTTTATAGAACATGTAGATGTTGTGTAGTTATGCCTCTGTCTTTTTCCCTTTATCTAACTCCATTTTCATGAATGGTTTATAATGAGAATCCCACTTTGTGGCCACATTGGTGCTGTCAGCACCTGTCATTTAACGGAGACCTTACGTTCATGAATCTAGTATAAAACTACTTTTATGGGGTGTGTGTTTGTTTCCACAGCAGTATCTTTAACTCCTTTTTGGAACGAAAATACAAACCAAAAACACGTCCATTAAAAAAATCCACCTTTTTGCCTTTTTGAAACACATGCTCTGTAGCACAAGGATTTTCAGGTGCTTTAACAGGAGTCTCCAAGCAGCACATTATGCAGGCTGAGGATATTTAGTTCAATAAACAGAATTTAACACGATCCATAAACCACGTATCCCTTCTGCTAAGGTGTTTTTTCCCTCCCTGTGTACTTGTTGCTGGATTATTTTCAGACCAGCCTAAATACGTGCAAATGAAAATTTGCTTATCTGTGCAAAACAGAGCAGTGACTTCTCTGAAACAGGCTCCCAAGAACTATGCAGGTGGTTTTTCTCCTGAGCTCCCTCTACAACTCAAAATGCAATGATTGTAAAAATGCCATCTTTTTACTGATGTAGAAACCCAGCTGTTCATTTTGATTAAAGTCATTTTATGTATCTTTATACCAGCCTTCTCTGTCCTGCACAGGGAAGACAAAACAAGCTGGATTTTGTCCATTCTTCCAATATCTTGTCACTGATTTTTTTCAGTGAAACTGATGAAAAGTTCCAATTTAAGAACATTTTTTTTTTTAAGATTATACACAATCCAAATTTAGCCTCTAACAGCACAGGCCCTCCTATTTTACAAAGGAGACATTTATTTATTTCACTCCCACTCGACTACACACAGGACTTCAGTAACACGTCAGATACAAAATTAAATAGGACCAAAGCAACTGCACAGATTATAGCCATAGTACAATTAAAACTTAAAGGTAATACTGATAAGAAATTGCAAGGAAAACTGGACCTGGAAACCAATTAAAGAGTTTTCTGCTCCCAGCTTTTCCTTTTTTAAATGTCTACCTAAGTTAAGACATGCAGCAAAATGAAATCTTAACCACAATTATATTATAAAGGCACTAATATTCAAGATGCTTTCTATCTGTTTCTGAAAACTCAAGGCAAATAAAATATTATCGATTTTTCCTTCAAATGGAAGTTGTATACTTCAATGGTCAGATTGCAATAACAATATATTTTTTAATAAATTAGCTCAATATGACGCACGTCCTCTTTACATTACAATACCCCACTCCTCTCTGAAAGATGGCTTACCTTCCCTGGGGCAGCAAAATATTATTTACGCCTCCTAGTTTGACATTTATTTTCAAGCAAAGGTTGGACAGAGTTTGCGGTGTTGTTCTTTGCACATTTTTCATCTGAACGCACTGCGTAGCCATGCCCAGCACCGTGTCGCCAACGCGCTTCACCTCCGCTGCAAAACGAAGGAGAACCCAAAAAATAATTGCATATTGCACATCAAAACAAATAGGAGACGTTAATTCAGTGACACTGGCACTGCTGGCTTATTTTAACTAGGATTTTTTTTACTTATTCTAATTGCAATTTTAAAATTGCAATGTTTTATCATCAACATAGAAGAACCTCTGGCTTATGAAGTCGGTCATGTGGATAATGTTAGGATGACGAGCACTTGTTTCATTATTAAACACTGGACTAGTTACACAAACTTAGTAATAATTATAATTCATCATATAATAATGAATATAATGAGTTCTATTCAGCCAACCTGTTTATCAGTTCATCACTGTAAGTTTATCAGTTCATAAGCCAGTGGACAGTTTAGCAAAGGATGGCCAAAAAAACTCCAAAAAACTCATTAAGGCCAGCACTATTCAAAAGGTTAAAACAAATCCTATTGTAAAAAACAAAATTAAGACTTAAAGCCTTTAAGAGAGCCACTCTCATGCTCAGGAAAAGAAGAAATTTAGGTGCCAAGACAGGCTTAGAGAAGACGCAACCCCCCTTTGGCAACAGGGTGAGAGGAGGAGAAAAGACAAGACTGTGGGTATAGGAAGTGCAAGGAGAAAATGAAGGGAGATGATTAGAGGGGGCAGAAAGAACTATAATTAAAGATAATGACAAGGAAAGCAGAGGAGAGCGGTACCACATCCTCTCAGTGGTTAAGTAGAGGAAAGAGTCCCTTTTTAATGCCAAGCAGGAAAAGCAAAACTGTCATTTTGCGCTGAATTTCTATTGAACAAACTGGAGACGAGCAACTTCCTTTGCAAGGCTGAATTCAAGGGGGGAAAAGAAGTACTAATTTGTTAAGACTCCTTTTTTTAATCTCTCTTTTTATCTTATAGGAGATAATCTGGGGGGAAAAAAGCTAGGAAATTATTTTCTGTTGTATTAAATTGGCGAGGGATGGGATAAAACAAATCTGCAGCTGCTTGGTAAAGCTGAGCCATGGGAGAAGAGAAAGTCCATGAAGCTGTGGAACAAAAACAGTGGATGGTGCTGCAATTAGGCAAGGTGAGTGAAAAAAGAAAGGTGGCAGGATAGGAAAAGGAGCAGGCTTGCCTATAGGAAGAGCTGGTTAAAACCAAAATGCAAGGTTTATCTCACGCATATTAAAACCCATTGTCAATAGGTCAACTATTGACCTAACTGTCAATCTGTTTCCAAAAAACAGCTTAAGTTGCTGAATCTTCATCTTCCATGAATATGTGTCCTTGTAACCCAACAGCTGAAAAACTAAAAGAACAGGAAAAAAAATTGATTGGCAGACATTTTCTCCTTCACTCAACTTTTTTCACAAAAGGGTAACGACGTAAGTCAGCAAAGATGTCCCAGAATCTACACGGTTCTTGAGTTCATTACTTCCTCAATCACTTGGAAGTTTTAGCACACAGATTACAGAAAAACAACTAATTTATAACCCCTGTAATTAATTTCTATTCCCTAAATGGAATTTATATCGTTAAATTAGAATTCAACTTCTCTCATTCAGATCCTTTACAAAAAATACCCGAAACTGTGACTGAAACAGGTTCAGGATGTGCAGTTACTGACCATAGACTGGTGTTTTCCCTGGCAGAATCACCACGACCAGCTGCAGCCCAGTGTAGGTGTTCTTGAGGTGTCTGAACATGGGCTCCACGCTGTCGGCTCCCTGCGCGTATTTACAGAAGCACGGCTGCCCCCAAACTGCATCTCTGGAAATCTTCCTCAGCTGTTCTGTGAAGGACCTGAGGGATGGAAAGAAACCACATTAAATTCCCAGGCAGCAACATCCATCTTGATTTTTGTTCTGATTTTTAAGGGAGGAATCCTGTTAAACTTGCAGAGTTGCACTGTCCCAAACCTTGGCAATTTACGCAATGATAGGGAGAGATGAGGAAATTGTAAAAATAATACCATTACTAAAAACTTCACTTTTAAAGCAAATTCCACCTTATTTGATCTTTCTATGGGACATTCAGTATAAGCTACTTCTTGCAAAAACACTGCAAGGATGATATTTTGGATAGGCTGTTGTGTCTATCACTACAGAAATGTCTGGAGTTCCTTCTTTTTCCTGGTGAGGAAAACAACCAACAGAAGTGACCAACAACTGTGCGTCGGCAAATCGATCTGACATCAGTAACAACACAAGAAATTGTCCACTGCTAGATGAGGTACTGGAAAGCAGCCCTGAGGAAAAGGACTTGGGGATACTGGTGGATGAGAAGATGGACACGAGCCACCAATGTGCATCTGCAGCCCAAAGCCAATTGCATCCTGGGCTGCATCACAACAAGTGTGGCCAGCAGGGCCAGGGAGGTGATTCTGCCCCTCTGCTCTGCGCTGCTCAGACCTCACCTGCAGTGCTGTGTCCAGCTTTGGAGTCCCCAGCACTAAAAATACACTGAAGTGCTGGAGCAGGTCCAGAGGAAGCCACAAAGATGATCAAAGGGCTGGACCACCTCTCCTAAAAAGCCAGGCTGAGAGAGCTGGGGTTGTTCAGCCTGAAGAAGAAAAGGCTCCAGTGGGACCTTAAAGCGACCTTCCAGGACCTGAAAGGTGCCTATAAGAAATCTGGGGAAGAGCTGTTCACTAGGGCATGCAGCAATAGGACAAGGGGTAATGGTTTTAAACTAAAAAAGGGTACATTTAGGTTGGATATTAGGAAAAGTTCTTCACCGTGAGGGTGGTAGATCACTGGCACAGGTTCCCCAGAGAGGTGGTGGAGGCCCCATCCCTGGAGATATTCAAAGCCAGTTTGGATGGGGCTCTGAGCAACCTGATCTGGTGACATTGTCCCTGCTCACTGCAGGGGTTGGACTGGATGAGCTTTAAAGGTCCCTTCCAACCCAATACATTCCATGATTCTGTGATACCGGAGAAAAGGTGTATCCTGGAGGTGAAGAGAAACCTTCTCCAAGGATGGTGTTAAAATAAGTCACCCTTTGATGGTGCTTGTCAAGACGCCTGAAAGTACTTCAGTGTAGGACTCTGCCAGTCTGGAAAGCATCTTCAAAGTTACGGCTCCTCCAGGCTGGATGCCCACATCAGTGGTGCATGAATTGGTCTTTAAGCCCCATTCCCACAAAAACAGGCAAGATGAGCAAGTAGTGAGGTGTCACAGCAGAGTACTTGGTGCCGATGAACCAACATCCTACATGTGTTTCCGGGATTTTTCTTCAGCGTGACCGTAGTTTGGTGCAGTGGGTTAAAGGTTTAGGTTGGATATGAGGAGGAATTTCTTTACTGAAAGGGTTGTCAAGCACTGGAAGAGGCTGCCCAGAGAGGTGGTGGAGTCACCATCCCTGGAGGTGTTTAAAAAACAAGGAGATGTGGTGCTTAGGGACAAGGTCTAGTGGTGGACTTAGGGCTGGATCAATGGTTGGACTTGATGTTCTTAAAGGTCTCTTCCAACTAAAACCATTCTATGAAGCACATCCTCTAGTCCAGTTTTACCCAAAAGAAATCCACACTGTACACTGAGACTGCTCCTTGATGCAGAGCATGGCATGGTCACTAGTAACTACCAGGAGCACTAATTCAAACATGCACTCCTGATCCAAACTAAACACTCTTGTGCAGACACACCCAGAGATGTCCTCCTTTGGCGCATGGCTTCATGACCAGCACAATCCCAGATAGCAGTGCTTACCTTTGCCAGTTTACCTCTTTTATCATTTTGGATAACTAAAAAGTTGCTCTAAGAGGGTGCCAGATAACACAGTCTCACCCACTGAGGGGGTGTGAAGATTCAGATTCTTCCAAACCCACTGTGAACTTTCATGAATCTCAACAGTTTGTGAGCTTCAGCCTCGCTGCTTGTGGCTCCTTGTGGAAAACAGGCGCATGAAGAGTTTTCCCTGGCAAATGAGGTGCTCACAACTATAAGCAGGAAGAGTCAGTGGAAGGACGTGCAAGTCTAAAATGGCCTGGGTTTGGAGTCTTTAGAAAGCCATCTTCTCTCCCTGTTCCTGACAGGCAAAGCAGGATGATTTTGAAGACTTTTAGGGATTTTGAAGGTGTTTACTCCCACGGACCTACACCAGCCAAGCCCCAGCTTGCTCAACAAGAGGCAACAAGATGCAACTGGATGCAGTCATACTCCTACTATGAAGGAATGTCCTTTCACAGTAAGGACAAACTCCATCAAAGGCATCAAATAAATTTAATTTTGGCTCATTATGTTGAAGACTTCTCTCAAAACTAAGTTCTCCTACGCAGCACTTCCACTAGAAGCAACAGTATGGGAGGAAAAATCCTCTGCCATGTACCTGGTGAGAACAAGTCCCCAGCCTTACATAACCGGAAGAGAAGTAAAGGTAAGATTTCCGCTGTTCGCTCAACACTTGTTAGGGAAAAATTCCCAAGCTGTTTGGCAAATCATCTAAAGGAACGCTGTTATGGCAATGGTGTTGCTAGGAATAAGCACTGTCTTCTGTGCACCTTACAAAGAGCAGCTGAGTCACCTCTAAGAGCCGCTCTTGCCTGTGCATGAAGGGAAAGCAACCGCAAAAGAAGGAATTAAACACTCCGTCTGCACCAGCATTCACATTTTCCCTGATCTAAGAACGGTGGATGTCACTTTTAATAATAATCTTTCAACAATCGTGTTCCATCCAAAGAGAAAGAAACCAAATTTCAAAGTTTTATTCAAATGCTCAAAGCCAATAAAACAAAAATAAGCCTTACTCATTGTGCAAAACAGCAGCTTGCAAATTACAGGAGCTCTAGAGGGCAGAAAGTTTTAGACAAAAGTTGGATTGCTTTTAAAAGTTTTCCTTTGAATTAAGTTCTGCACGAATAAATCTATTTCAGATAACCAGGAAAGGAACCTAAGATGACGTACATGTGTTAGCTTTCACCTTGACAAATACCTAGTGATAAATAATTTATCTCAATAGATACTCTAAATAAATAAGTGAAATTATGATATTTCTATGCATAATAAATAATAAAATCACCAGCTTACGAAACACACTTACTTCAGATGAACTTCAGTGCATTGGCGCTGGGGAGCAAAGCACGCAATGGCCCAAACCTTTATTTCAATTCCAGTGTGAAACTGTTTATTCCTCATGTCCCAGACTCCTTGAACTGGGGTAGCAATTGCTTTATTCTGGAAGTGGAAGGGAAAAAGCCACAAAACCAATGCAGTAATGAAAAACTGATTCATGCTAACAAATACCAGTTATGCTGCTGCTTTCCTGCAAATAGCAGTTGTTTATATTCTCAGGTCTTTCTCTCCACCGTTCCAACATTTATCCTGTTTTATTATAAAAGATCAAGAGAGTTTGCTAGCCTGGTGAAAAATAAAGCCCGTAATGCTCATTTTTATTGTTGATGGTTTCCTTTGGTTACATAAAGCAGCAGCAGCACCAGTTACACAGGGATATGAAGTCAGATTCATGGTACAAAGTGTTAACAAGAACATACATTTCTACCACAACTTTAAAACTGCTCAGTGAACTTTCCAAGAGCGACTTAATTTATTATCAATGTTACACATTATCATCAATTTTACACATCGCTAAGTAAAGGCAAATGGTGCAGTGTTATTCATGTAGCTCTAGAAAAACCACGAGCAACCTGACAAAAGATGATCAGTTACTAAAGTTTGACCTGTGCAACACTATTTTTCTCCCATTAAGCAGTCATTACTGTGATGGATTATCCAGACGACAAAGGATATAAGAAGATGACTGCAGTAATTCTGTTACCTTAATAGAAGTATTAGGATCCAGTAGACATTTTAGACAAGTTACCACGATGTCTGTGTTCTCATTTATCGGGAAGAGCTACAACTTAGGGGAATTTTTCAGGACACACACAAGATTTGGTAATTGATTTTGCATATTGTGTCTGCTGAAGGCAGAACTTCCCCTACTCTGAATTTCAATCACTCATTTGCCATCAAACTCTTGTTCCCCTGGTTCATGCGGGCATTCTCTCTAACCAGGATCAGGCAGAGAAAACTGGGTTATCCTAACTTGTTGGTGATGGAGGATTTGAGTTAATCTGCCCAATTTTGCCTGACAAGACACAAGATCTTCTCCCATTGTGGATTTATGGAGGTAACAGCCTGATTCGTGCACAGGGACAGAACTGTCTTCAGTTGGCAATGCATGATCTGGAAGAGGTTCAGCTGAAGCCTCCACAAATTCAGTTATCCAAGCTATCAAGGCTTTCATCTTGCATAAATACAGTATACTATACATATATATATATATTTATTTATACATATA